TCCTTTCCTGTAAAAATCTAGGAGAAAAAAATTTGCCATCTTGTCTTTGATGTCTATACATTTAAAAAGGAACGGCAGGATCATTTTTAGCACTTAAATTGCTTCTCCAAAATTATCCAGAAAATATTAATGAAGACAAAGAAAGAAACCAACTTTCATCTACCCTCTTCCTCCTTTTTGGCTTATTTGGGTTTTTATCTCGGGGGCGGGGGGATGATACAGTCTGCGTTTGTGTCCACAAATACTAAAAATATAAAACTGGGATCTTTGCTACTCTCTGTATCAGAAGAGTACACATATTGATAGCACACTGAGAATCATCAAATTCTAAGGGTGCAGGAAACAAAAGGTGTTTCTTCTGATGACTTTTACTAAGCACCAATCGTGTACCAGGCTCTCTTCAAGTTCAAAAGAAATATAAAACAAACGAAAATCATCTCCAAAAACCATTTCATAAAACAAATGCCTAAGACAGACAGGTTTATTACTCTGCTTGGTCATTTGTTTTTTAGGGACAGGGCCTTGCCCTGTCACTGAGGCTGGAGTGTGCTGACACCATAATAGCTCAAAGCAACCTTGAACGCCTGAGCTCAAGTGATCCACCTGCCTCAGTCTCCTGATAGCTGAAATTAGAGACGCGTGCCTCCACACCTACCTGCCTACCTAATTTGGTTTCTTTTTTGTGGAGAGGGGGTCTTGTTATGTTACCCAGGCTGGTCTCCAACTCCTGGTGTCAATCAATCATCCTCGATCCCAAAATGCTGGGATTACAGGCACGAGCCACTGTACCCAGGCTTGTCTGCCTGTGTTTAGATCCTTAGGAACCGGTATTAAAAGAGCAAATAGCCAAATATAGTGATGGTGGTAGTCATGGCGACCAACAATGATGACAGCAAATAACATTTATTGGGATCCAATTTTTGTAAAGTGCAATGCACGAATTCCAAAGCTTAATCTTAAATTTAAAACACCTTCATAAAGTAGGTGGTTAAAGTAAAATCATTTTACCCCATTTAGAGACGTGAAAACTAAGGTTAGAGAGGTTAAGAACGTGGCCAGGCTCGTGAAGCCAAGAAGTCGTGGAGCCAGGATTCAAACGCAGGCAGCATGGCCCCAGATCCCACCATACAAGATGCCCATCGCTTATGAGGCAAGATGCGGCAAACCAAGTTTCCAAGCCACTGCCTACAATCCGGCCCTAGGTATGCAAAGTCTTGACGGCTTTCCCAGTCCCAGGCTGAGGACCAGCAGATGCCGGGGCCAGGTGTCCCTAATGCAGTTCCTATGTCTACAGGGACCTTCCACACTCACTATTCATGCAGAAGATCCAGCCCCCTTCCCAATTCCCTTCCACTAACACCCCAAACTGCCACCACCTCCGCCACGTCTGGCCCTGTACACCCACAGATGGATGGATTGTGGGCAAATCAGTAACCATAAAACATACTCAAATGTTGGGAAGTAAGCCCTTTGGATAAATTGATTAGCCACTTAGTGCTCTACTTGGCAGTTAACTTAAATGTTTTCTTCTTTAGAGTCTAAAGTAAGTCCATTTAGGACATTAATAAAGTCATCTTGTTAATGAAGTCTATTTATACAAAGTATTTCAATTCCAGGTTATTAGAACTCTTTAAATTGTTCCTTCCCTAAGCCAATTCTTACCAAAGCTTTTTTTTTTTTGAAAAAAAAAAAAGTGTGTCTATTCTAAGGTATATTTAGGACTGTCCAACGCTTCCTTTACATTACAATTAGGCAATAAAGTAAAATATGAAGAAAAACGAGTAAAAAGCCAGTTAATCACACACCCCACCCTCAGAAATAACCACTATGGACACTTTCTGGTCTATTCCTTCAATCTTTTTCCACCATATGTAAGTATTTCCACTAAAAGTAGATCATACTTCATATGTTGCTTTAATCTGATTTTTAGCAAATTTATATCTGATTCACAGTTTATCTATGCTTCAGTCCCAAACACCCGACTGCCTGACACTGTTCAAGCACCCAAAAGTGCTCAAGTCAATACTGAACTCCAGATCTCCTAACCAAATCTGGTCACCTCAGAGCCCGTTCCCTGCCCTGGTGAATGTCCCCACCAGCTCTGCCTGGTCCAACCTCCCATCGATTTCAAACCTCCTTCTCCAAAACCTGCTGGCTGGCTCCTCACACCAGCTCCGTCCCCACACCCATTCCTTAGGGACAGAAAGATGCTTCCCAAATGTAAATCTGATCACCTAATACACACACACACACACACACACACGATTTTCATTTATCCGTCCTTGTCCTTAAAATTTCACCTAGATCTTTCTAAAAGCAGAGTATGAATGTCTTAACTTAATGACTAAGAGAATGACATGAAGGTTATGTTAACCCGTTTGATGAGAGTATTTCAAAATATATATGAAAACAGCACGCTGTACCCCATGATTACATTAATGTACATGTTATACTATAAGAAATTTAAAAAAAAAGAAGAAGAAAAAGTAGCAAATAACACATAAAGGAAAAAAAAAATTTCACCCAGATCATACTTTGATTTCCCAGCAAGTCTTGTCCCACATTAAGCTTGGTTACAGTGCCTTTCTCACAGAACCATTCCTTGTCTTCAGAACCCTTTTCTCTTAGTAATTACCGTCAATTTCTGTGACTGTTTAATCCTTATTCTCATAAGAAAGCAGAGACCATGTCTCCTCCGCCCGCCTTCGTGTAGCTGCACTAAGTACAATGCCTGGCACGGGACAGGTGCACAGCTACTGGCTGAAGTTACTTCAGAACACTAGTCTGGTGATCTTTCCAAGGAAGTCATTCCATACGCTGTCTTTTCAGTTATTACGACTTAAGCACCCTAGTATGAAAAATTTTTTCTTAAACTTTATTTAAAAAGAGGCAGGTGGCATTTAGCTTTGGTTCAACATCGAGAAGCAGTTTTAATGAATCTATTCCATTTAATCTCAATCTCAAATATTCAACAAAAGACAGCAGGGTAGGGCGGCACCTGTGGCTCAGGGAGTAGGGGGCCAGCCCCATATACCAGAGGTGGCGGGTTCAAACGCAGCCCCAGCCAAAAACTGCAAAAGAAAAGACAGCAATTTGTGTATTTATGCATAAATAAATTATTCCTTTTGATTAAAACATAAAACAAATTTCATAAGTTATTTTATTATCATGTTTTCTATAAATAGAGAGGTATACCTTATAAAAAATGTTTTCCAAGACCTAACAATTAAGGTGTCTGCATTAAAACTAGGTCCCCAGCCTACAGGGGAAGGCAAGGAATAGCGATTCTATGACTAGCCCACCACATCAGCAAAAAACAACATATAGGTCACCACATAACACTCTGTAGAGACATCCTAATTCACTGTCACTTATGGAAATTAAGCCAAAATTTACACACAGAAAAAAAAAAATTTGTTTTTTGAGACAGCGCCTCAAGCTGTCCCCCTGGGTAGAGTGCTGTGGCATCACAGCTCACAGCAACCTCCAACTCCTGGGCTCAAGCGAGTCTCTGCCTCAGCCTCCCAAGTAGCTGGGACCACAGGTGCCTACCACAATGCCCAGCTATTTTTCGGTTGCAGCCATCATTGTTGTTTTTCACAGACCCGGGCTAGATTTGAACCTGCCACGTTAGGTATATGTGGCTGGCGCCTTAGCCACCTGAGCCACAGGAGCTGAGCCTACACACAGGAAAAAATTCAGTATGAACAGTTTGAACTAAAACTGTTCTACACTAAGGGATTTTACACCTAATGCACATGATTTCCACAATTATTTTAAATTTGAAAAGCATCTGACATGACATTCTAATAGATATGAAAGACTGGGAGGGGCCATGCTGCAACCTACTTCATTTTTGTATGTGAAACATCAAATTCAAACTAACTTCACATTGTAGTAATAACTAGAATACTATTTACTTAACACGAGAACACCCTGGTTATTTCGGTTATCGCCACGTTTCACCAACACACATTTCACTTGGATTCCTCGCGTGTGAACCACCATTGTTACCCAGTGAGTAGCGGAGGTCCTCTCTTGCTGTTACGCTTGTCTTTATAGCTTGGCATTCTCAGGAGACGCAGCACGTGAGGTTAACAAGGGCACATCCCTGACAGTAACACAAAACGGGCGCTTATCACTGAATTCCCTACAGCTCTTTTCTGGTTTTTCACAATATACTCAAGTTGGTTTTAAGATATTGTATATTTCAGTGTTTAAGGAAATAGGGTATCGTTGGAAATTCAATCTACCAAAGGTACTTCTTTAGGAAACTTTAGTCCGTATTAGTTACGCCTTCTAAACAAATGAAATAGCTTCCTATTTAGTACATGGACCAAGTCCTCAGGAAGAAATCAGCTCACGTGTGCACACACACACACACACAAACCCCAAAAAAGGAGATGGAACGGAAACCAGCCCACAGACTCCCTCAACTATCTTTGGGCATCTGAAAATAACTGACACACACACACCCCATAATGTAGTTTAATGGGTATGGGCTTTTTTTCCCTGCAGAATACAAGAATTCAGCACTTTTGTCTTGACAGCAAAGGAACTTAAGTCTCAAAATTCTCTTCTAGCAATCTACCTACTCACATGGTCATGCATTCAATGAAGAGAAAAGAAGGGTTTAAAGAAATTAAAATTAGTGTCCATTATAAACTGTTAGGTCTTCCTGTAATTTAAGTGGCAATCCATTCCTTAACAGTTTATTTTACTCTTCTTTTGTTTTGAGACAGAGACTCACTTTGCCATCCTCAGTAGAGTGCTGTGATGTCACAGCTCACAGCAACTTCCAACTCTTGGGCTCAAGCAATTGTCTTGCCTCAGCCTCCCAAGTAGCTGGGACTACAGGCACCCACCACAATGCCCAGATATTTTTAGAGACAAGATCTTGCTCTTGCTCAGGCTGATCTCAAACCTCTGAGCTCAGGCAATCCACCTGCCTCAGCCTCCCAGAGTGCTGAGATTACAGGCATGAGCACCTGGCCTTTTAAAAATATATAGAATGCTTTGTGAATTGGCGTGTCATCCTTGCACAGAAGCCATGCTAATCTTCTCTGCGTCGCTCCAATTTTAGTATATGTGCTGCTGAAGCAAGCACCTTAAGAGAGTTTACTGATGTTTTAAGAACTCATTTCACTATTCAAGGTAAATTCATTCTAGTGATTCTTACTCCAGGCACAAATATACGTGTGGTGGCGTGTATGTGTGTGTTAGGCAATCTCCTCTACAAACTGCAGAGACTGGGACTGTCCTTAGCGTAAAAACAACAGAGTGGTCCTCTCCACAGTATTAATAACTCAGGCACAGATTCTATAATAGAGTATACACAGACAGGTGTGTCCCCACAATAAGCAGGAAACGCTCCCACCGTCACCCAGCTGGCTGTTGATTACTGTTTTTATGACTTAAGGCCAAGACAAGTAAAATAATGACACAGACACAGTAAGAAAATAACGTTCAGAAAAGTTAAAATAATGAACTTTTAAAATTAATGCATGTCCCCTAGCTGATAGTTCTGCCAGCCTTGTATTTGAAAAACAAAATTATTACAACACATTTCAGAAACACCGATCTCAGGAGGTAGTAATTTTATTAACATAAGAAGCATAAAAACAACATTAGCTTATAAGTTACAAGCTCTCAACTTACAAAAAAGCCCCTATGCTAGCTTTTCCCCAATTTGTGGGATTTCTTGCCTGTAATCACTATACTTTTTTGTAAAGTTTCCTTCCTCCCAACATTCTTCTAACTGAAGACCTAACCAGACAGTCCCCCAGGGAACGTCCCAGCTTCTTTGATAAACATCAATCAAGCAATACCCAAAAATCTCCAGCACAGTCCTTGGGCTTCAGCCCAGGCTCCAGCATGAATGTACCAACTCTTTAAATGGGTTTAAATTGCTACGTCATTCAATCCTTCCTTCACAAAGGGAAAGAAACAGAATGAAAATTATTTCATAAGGTCACCACCAAAGAGAACATACAGGACATCACTCCTGCTCAAAACAAAATCACAGCAAAGCAGGACAAAGGAAGCGGTTGGTAATGCATCTGTAAATCACCTTCAGCCACAAAGAAGTTTAAAAAGATGATGCCAGGCCAGGCGCGGTGATTCACACCTGTAATCCTACCACTCTGGGAGGCCAGGCCAAGGCAGTAGAATACCTGAGCTCACAGGTTAGAGAACAGCCTCGGCCAGAGTGAGACCCTATCTCAAAAATAGCCGGGTGTTATGGCAGGCACGTGTAGTCCTAGCTACTTGGGAGGCTGAGACAAGAGAATTTCTTGAGCCCAAGAGTTTGAGGTTGCTGTGAGCTGTGACACCACAGCACTCTACCCAGGGCGACACAGTGAGACTCTGTCTCAAAAAAAAAAAAAAGATGATGCTGTAAGAGAAGGACTTTCTTCTTCTCTTCTTGCTGATCACCCACACTAAAGCATATCTCACCCTGACTCTCATGAACACGGTTCATTATAAAAGTTTTGACAGATACACAAAGATCAAGAAACATAAAGTCCACACAGTCATAAATGAAGTCCTCCCAGAAACCTCCTTAAGTCCAGCAAGGTGAAACTGGCAGGGATAACTCATGGGACACCTGTCAACTGTGTTTCTCGGAAGTGAAAAAACAGACCGTAACACAGTCTGTCTCAAAACTTTCGTAGTAACCTGGGCACCTGCCAGTTAATGCCTGAAATCTTTGTTTTCTCCCTTTACAATCAGTGTCAGGTGATGACTGCCATGCACAGGGAAATGAATCCCAAATATTTTCATTCTGTCATGAATTTGGAAATTTCTAAATCTGCCATAATGCCCAGAGGGAACAACACGTGTGGCCTTTAACCCGCTGATGAGAACTACGGAAAGCTTCTGAAATAATGAAGAGCAAACCAGAAAGAAATTCAGACGCAATACAGCCCAAAAGGTAGGAAGGCTCCGGAGGCACATTCTTGCCAGCTGCTCTCCATCCTGCTACACAGGACACAGACGCCATCGCGGGGTCTCATCACTCGGCAAATGTCAACTGACACAAACAAGAATGGGATACCGTGAGTCAGCCGGTCACACACCCACCCACATTCTTTTTTTTTTTTTTTTTTTTTTTTTTTTTGAGACAGAGCCTCAAGCTGTCCCCCTGGGCAGAGTGCCGTGGCATTACAGCTCACAGCAACCTCCAACTCCTGGGCTCAAGCGAGTCTCCTGCCTCCGCCTCCCAAGTAGCTGGGACCACAGGCGCCCGCCACAACGCCTGGCCATTTTTTTTTTGGTTGCAGCCGTCATTGTTGTTTGGCGGGTCCGGGCTGGGGATTCGAACCCGCCACCTTAGGTGTACGTGGCTGGCGCCTTAGCCGGTTGAGCTATAGGCGCCGAGCCTCACCCACATTCTCTGCTCTCCTCCTGGAAGGCAGCAATACCAGGCACCTTTTTAGGACCAAAGGAGATCTAGAATGTTCTGTACCTTAGAGGCCAAACCTACCCCAAGAAGCCGAGACAACCAACACCAGAACCCGTTCTGAACAATGTGTGTGAATCCCAGAAACTGGAATAATCAAGGCACTGAAAGGGCACTCCCTTGGTGCCATGCCCGGAGCTCTAGTGATCAAAGCATAAGGAGACCAAGTATGGCTAATTAAGTAACTACTTGACTCCAATTTTCTTTTGCCGCCATTTAAAATATTGCCTCGTATTCCTAATTTCCCTCCATAAAAAAAGTCATAATTTTATGTATGCATAATGACCAGGTCCAAATTCTGAACCTTTGAGAAACTTTTCCCCAGCACAGAGACTGTGGACCACAAAGGCTGTGGTTTCAAAGCTCAGTGAACTTAACTAGCACCGTGTGTCTGTGTGTGTGTGTGTATGTGTGAGAGAGAGAGAGAAATACAGGTGCCCAGTGCCAGATCTCAGAGATCCTACTTCCCTAGGCTGGGTACATGCATTTGAGGCGGGGAGGGAGGGGATGGTTCGCAAATCAGAACCTTTGTAAAGGAATGTAAAGGAATTTTATTATTTAGGAGAGCTGTAATTATTTCAAGCCAAAAACCCAAACAGGTGTCAAGGTCCTTCCTCAGAGTAGCTGCCAAAAATAGTTGACAACCCTCCAGAATGATTAGATCAGAATCAAATTTCAGAGCCATTGGAAAAGAGCCACACAACCAGTAACATTATGCAATTCTGCAATTTGAATAATGCATCCTACAATACCTGTGAGCCTGCCTGAGTCTGGATGATTAACCATATTTTTTTACAGTCATAACTTAAAAATAAATACCCTAGGAAGGGCACTCAGAAATGTTTAACTTATGCACACATGTATTTTCAAAGGATTTCTGGACAATCCAAACACTGGTTTACAAGCTATTTCAGTCTGTGGTGCACTGTACTCTCCAGCACTTTACATTCGGAAATGGATTTCAATCAGCATGACATAAAATCGTATAAAAGTAGATTCCACTTATTCACTCACTTATGTTTAAAACATTTTGCTCCGATTAAAGAAACGTTTAAAATTTGTATGGAAAATGCTAAGGTTCTAGAAAATGTATATTTATCATCAAATTTGCACATGGATACACAATGTAAAATACAGTCTATTAAGAATTCTGTGATCTGGATGTTCAACTATTTCAGATCACAAATAGTCTGCCTTTTCCTTAGCTTTTGTGCTAAAAGAAGATTGCATTTACTTATCAGTTGCTGAATGACAAACCAAAGATCCAAACAACATCAACAACTTTAACCTTGATTTTTTTTTTTAAGAGACAGAATCTCACTGTGTCACCCTTGGTAGAGCTCCGTGGCGTCACAGCTCACAGCAACCTCACTCCTGGGCTTAAGCAGTTCTCTTGCCTCAGCCTCCCAAGTAGCTGGGACTACAGGCTAAGAGTTTTGTTATTTTTACGCCCAGCTACGAGTTGTTATTTTTATAAAGGAAGGGAGGAAGGAAGAAGACCGATACAACCTCAGCGGATCTCCTTCTAATATCATGGCTGGGAAAAGGGACCTGTTTAAACGCTTCGTCCATCCTCGAAGTTAAGCTTCAACTTGGGAGTTGAACCACACAATAAATCAACTCTGATTTAAATCTCTAAATGGTGCTCTGCCCTGCAAGGGGACTGCAGAAAAGGATTTGAGCGTTACTCTCTGCCTCTCTCAGCTCACTTAAAAAGCCCAGAAAGGAGAAATGGCTCTAAAAAAGGGGAGGGGGAAGGGCAGGAAATTATAAATGGACAAAAATGTCCCAAATAGACAGAATATTCGGTACCTGAAATGTTTTGTTTTCCTTGAGACGTCAAGAAAACAGGAGATATTCCCTACCCCTGAGCCAGGCAGATGCCAGTTGTCAGGAACGTAGGTGTGAGCGTGACAGTGACGGCTACAATTACCCGCTGAGTGAAGGGACAGGTGGGAGGGGAGACCCAGAAGAGGGCAGAAGGAGCACCCACAGGATCTGACCGGCTTCCAACCTCATGACGCAACCCAGCTCGCTTCATAACACCCCGTGCTATCACCGGGAAGTTTTAAGGAGTTGCTCTATCAGGCAGTTGCCTCACTGCAGTTGTCACAGTGCAACTGAGCATGTGGCTGTGAGCCCTTCTGCGATTCTTAGGAGACAAACACAAAAGGTGTGGCCACAGGAGCCGGCTCATCATCGCACCAGTCAGTAAACAAGGTGCTGACTCTGTATGCAGAGCCAACCGTCCTGCCAGGCACTCTTAAGATGGTTAGTGCCCCCTCCACCTCCTCCTCCCCTCGATTCCTTCCAAGAGGCACACAAAATAATACTGAGGTGCCGTAGATGGCCATGCTTATGATGCCAAAACCACAGGACACAAAGAGAAAAGGATGGCTTTTTGCAAGCCAGGCACAGCAGCAGGGAGGCCACCTGGGACACACCGGCGCATCTCATAGCAGCGCAGTGCAGCGCTCAAGTCCACTGCCAGGACAGGAGTCCGGGGACCCAAACTCAGCGACTGTGTCTACTGTACATCAGTCATCATACGGATGGGGCGGAGCTGTCAAAAAGAGTATGTTTGGTTAAAATAAGGGAGAAAGGAGGCAAACAAGGCTTTTTGTGAGGTTTCCATTTTAAATGTTTCAATTTTAAAATTCCAAAACTTAGTAATATGTCTCAAGTATCAAGAAAATCATTATACCCTGGCATTCAGGGTAGTGAAGATTTTATGAAACTTATTAAACAAAACACACTGAAAGTGGGTGGGTCAAACGTTCTTTACAGTATGTGTCCAAAGCAGAAAGGAAAGGACTCCTACCTGGAAGGGACACTAAGAAAGGGCCCTTCAAGGGGAGGGGGGGAAGAAAACCTGGCCTGCTGAGCCAGGAAGTCTGAGGGCTCTTAAGATTATGGATATGAAGCAACGTAGGTAACCAATGACCAATAGAAAGAGACCATCAATGACCATAGGGAAGGGCAATACTGCCTGGCAGTGCAGAGGGGCCAATGAAAGACTTGCATCTGGAGGGCCCATAGGAATGTGGGCATAACCTAGGTAACCAATGACCAATAGAAAGAGACTATCAATGACCTAT